AGATAATTTTGTTCAATGTAGGGCTTATCCCTCCTTCGTTTCCATAACTGGAATTAAGTTGCACTGGCTTTTTAATTGCATGGCTTGATAAAATTATCAAGGACCCAAGTTACTATCCAAATGTGCTGTCATTCTCTTTCATGCATGCACTAGTGGCCCAGTGCAGATTCATGCACATTGAAATTAGAAGAAATATTTTAATATCACTATTCACCCTTTCTCTATAATAGAAGTGTCAATCAAATTCATGATCAACAATGACAGATTGAAACACACGCATGCGAGCCAGCGAGAGCTTTATATATATTGTGCATGCACGAGTCAACATTTATTTTTAAATTGCCAGTGCATGTCATATGTACCGGCCAATCAGTCAGTCGGATGGTTGGATGGATGGACGGTCAGTCACTTAGCCTTTTATATATATAGATATAGATAGATAGATATAGATATAGATAGATATATATAGATAGATATAAATATAGATATAGATATATATAGATTAAAATATGTTTTTCAACACCTAAAATTTTCTTCCTCTCCTTGGAGAAAAACACAAAATAAAGCTTTACCAGTGACAATTTCATATCTGCATGAAGCCAGCTGGCTTCCTGTTTTTTCTTCTTGTTTTTATGTTTTCTGTTCCTCTTATTCTCCATTTCCCTCTATTGAGGTAATAAACATTATCTGCTTTATAAAAATTTAGTTTTAGAATGCTTAGCATTCTATAATACCTACAGTGCCTTTATGATTTAGTAAGTTACCACTATTTCTATTTTTTAAAAAATTAAACTTCGTTAAAATGTTTAAAAAATATATTCAACTACATGGAATGATAATAATGTATTTTAAAATGGTTTTTATGAATAATCTCATCGTTTATTAAAAGACAGTTTTAGTTGTCACCATGTATTTCTGTAAAGAGTAAAAGTGTATATATCCATCCCGATGCCATTAGTAAAGTGAGCCAGCTTGTCAGCATTTGCTGTGTGGGAAAATGTAATAACCTCTAAAGAAAGGTTTCTAGTTATATGTCAAAGTATAAGCAAATTAGGGGCTACCAAGGAGTGCAGCAATCCAAATGGTGAAAAATATCCCTTCACACCCTGTCTCCTGGTGTCCTTCAGGCCATGTCCTCCCATCTCCTTAGTGACTCCTCTTCCTCTGCCAATTAGATCTCACAGATCCTCACATCCCGTTTTTTATACTTTCCCTTGCGTATCTATACATATATTCTATATACATATATGCCCTCTAGATGATTTTGTCCACTCTGACCATTTTTAATCATGACTCGCAAATTTTTATCTCCAGACCAGACCTTTCCCCTGGATTCATTCACATCCAGCTGCAGGTATTGCCTTTTGACCCCCGTGCCTTTGTGTATGTTGCTTCTCTGCCCAAAACACCCTGTCACGTCAGGCTAACTCTTAAATCTAGACTTTACACAGATGCCACTCTCCCTAGCAGGCCGAGGGACACAGGTGTCTCTATTCCCTGTTATACTAACACCCTAGGTATCTCCCTTTCTTTACATGTAGCCTTCTAGATTATAATCATCTTTTTATTGTATTATAACCACATTTTTCTTGACAGTGGTTATCAATCATAGGTATAACACATATGCACAATAAGTTGTTGAGCAAACAGGTTCCAATTTTAATCTGCATGGTGACTTAACAAACCATTAATTCCAAACTAGATTGTCATGGGCGGGGGGGGGGGGGGGGGGGATGCAAATTAAGGTTCATAAGCGTCAACTATTTATTGCACCTTTTTCTATTTAGATTGAGTTAGGGACATCCTGTAATTAATAAAACAGCCACTAAACTTATGATTTTCTACCAGAAAAGTCACAGGATTGTTAGAACGACATGTTTATATCAATAGGTCCCATAACTACTGCTACTCACTCTAAATCCATTTTCCCAAAGAAATAAAAAGTTACTATTCACTCAGCACGGTTCTATATGGAACACTTATTGCTCTCATTCACATTGTCTCACTGACTCCTCTCCAAAATCCACTGCAGTGGTCGGCAAACTCATTAGTCAACAGAGCCAAATATCAACAGTCCAACGATTGAAATTTCTTTTGAGGGCCAAATTTTTGAAACTTAAACTATATAGGTAGGTACATTGTTATTAACTTAATTAGGATACTCCTAAGGCTTAGGAAGAGCCACACTCAAGGGGCCAAAGAGCTGCATGTGGCTCTCGAGCCGCAGTTTGCCGACCACAGCACTAAGGTAAGCTCTATTGTTATGCTCACTTAATAGATGACACTGAGGCTGAAAGAGACTGAATAACATTCCCCAAGTCATTCAACTAGTAAGGAACAGGATGTATTTGAACCTGTCTCATTCCAGAGAACTTGAGTTCTTAAACACCATAGCATATGACTTTTCAACCCCTGAAAGGGGATTTGTGAAGAGTTTGCATGTAGTAGGCCAGTCATCAGCAATTATGAAGACAGACTAAACCTTTTGATTCCAGGCACACAAAACCAAACAGACCAGTTCTCAGAGACACAAAGACACAGCTGGCCCTGCAGAAAAACAAATAGGTTCTGCCCAAGTCACAGCCTGCCCCACTGACTGGCTTATCTCTGCAGGAAAGATTACGTGTGTCTATAAATACAACTGTGGATTACAAATCTATTAAAAATCAGAATTCAGGTCCCATCGGTTTTTGTACTGATTTCTTCCATTTGGTCTTGTACTTGAAGAAATATTGGCCTTTTAAATAAGCAACCATACACTGGCAAGAGCCGTTTGCTCATCAAGGGTCACAGGCTGAATTGACTTGGCAGGAGGTATGCATTTTTCAGTTAATAAATTATTCGGGTTAAAACAACAAACCAACCTCAAAAACAGAAATGACGAGGGATTGATTGAACCTTGCAGCAGGGGAAGTAGTTCAGGAGAACCTAAGAATTTCAGTGGCAAGTGGAGGTGGGGTGGCAGTCACTGTACCTTGTATCTTGCCTGTCTTACCTTTCAAGTAGCAGGGTTCAATGGACGGACTCCTGTGAATCTTCAGAAGGGAAAGAAAAGTGGTGTGTGTTTTTTATTATAAATGTCTTGATGGCCTTCATCCTTATTTCTTCGCCATGTTGGTAATAAACCTCAACTGTTTCAGGAAATGAAGACTTAAATGTCACGACCAGCACTTGATTTTTTTTTTCCTCCACTGCCTACCATGTCCCCAAAGTGGTAACACTGAGAACGATCCTAACAATTGGGCAGTAATATTCAAGCAAAACCAAAAAATCTTATTAGTGATGGTTAGTTATACTTTAATCTAAAAGGGTAAACTCATATCCTGTAGGAAACGGTACTTCTTTTAATTTACTGAGTGCCTAATATATGCCTAGTGTGTGTAGTAAGTGACCAATCTCAGTCCTCAAGGGGGTATTATGACTATTTTACATGAGGAAGCCTTCTGGATGAAAGGTGAGTGGGGTAAGTACGTGGACATCTGGAACCTGTGCATGGTGCCCTTGGGGTCTAATCTCCCCAGGAATTAGGAGGCAATAATCTGCTTAACCTAAGTATGTGTGGCCCGGCCTTTGTACACCTCAAAGATGACCACATAGGAAAAGTAATCCCAACATTCGGTCCACAGCAGTGAAGTGACACAAGTACTGTGAACAGAAGCTGACAGCGAATCCTTTCTCTGATATCTGTTCATTGTAATGTCTTTAGTCATCAACAAAAACAAGTGAACTCCAACAGAGCAGCTGACTTCATTTACAGCTGTACTCCCATCACCCATCACCTAGTACTGAACACGGCATACAGAGATGCTCAGCAAGTACTAGGGAAGAATAGAGAAAGTCCATATGGGAAAATGGGCCAAAGACTACTAAGGATGAAGACATACTCTTTTTTTTTTCCCCCCCCAGGAACTTTTCAACCCTGACTCACAGGAAAGATGAATTCAAAGAAGTGAAATATAAATTGGGATCTCTGTTATGGGCCCTAGGGGCCAGCATGAAGCTTGCGGGGAAAAAAAGATGAAATGGAAGGGCCAACCAAGGACAGAATAGGATTGCTAGTGTTTAACTTTTAAATGTGAATTCTTGACCTGAGATGTGTTTGCTCCTGCACTTAAATCATCTGTCCTTACCTTTTCTCACATCTCACATGTTTATTAAAGCATCTCACGTGTTTATTAAAGCATTGCTTTAATAACATACTTACATAGGCATGGTTGGCATGAGGCCATTACTTCAGGCCAGTGGAAGAGCAAAAGGGATTTCAAGCAGGCTATTTGTTGTTATAAAGCAAAATCAAACTTACTACATTTCCAAAGGGGTATAATATGATGGAGACAAGACCACCATGAAGCTAGAAACTTGGGGAAATCATTTTAAAAGCTCATAAGCATATGTTACTCATGACTAAAGGCGTTGCACTGTTATGCAACACGAGTGTCAGGGGAACAATTTTCCAACCTCATGACTCATGCTTCTGTATTACACACAATACTGGGTGTTTCCTTCATTTTAAAGAAATGTGAACACAAGCATGTGTATAAAAATACCTGATATCCAGAGGATGCCAACAACAGCTAACAGGTCAAGAAAAATGTAAGTTGACACTGTGTCATCAGAGTCCTTCTTCCAAGACGGAAAGTTACTCCACATTTTGAAAAGTACGACCGGATAGACAACTTCCTACCCTAGACCAGCTGGGTCCCCCCGTCTCTTTTCTATGAACTGCCCAGATAGGGCAAGAGAGCTGCAACGTGGGAAGAGGCCATACAAATAATTGCCCCCGCCGCATCCACACCTACGGAGATCGCCCTCTCCTTTGCCTGAAGGCGATCAGGGAGCGCTCCCAACTCTGCCCCACCAGGCCCGGGGGTGCCCCCAGGTCTCCCGATCCGCCCGTAGCGCCTCCAGAGTGACCTGCGGGCCAGAGCCGATCGATCCACCGGTACCTGCTCCCGAGCTCCCCGGCGGCAGGCCCCGCGACTACACAGCTCTCTCGACCACACGATTTTCACCGACTTTATTGGCCCCGGACCCCGGCGGGCCCCTCCGCAGCCCACCTCCCCGCTAGATGGCGCCGGGACCCTCCTGGGCATCCGGCATATTCACACACACTGCGGGGCGGCCCTGAGAGGAGCCTCTGCTCGGGCAGCCGGCTCCCGGGTGCCGGCGTCGGGGTCACTTGCTCTTCGCCTTCTGACTCTCCGTCTTCTTGGGCAGCAGCACCGCCTGGATGTTGGGCAGGACGCCGCCCTGCGCGATGGTGACTTTGCCCAGCAGCTTGTTCAGCTCCTCGTCGTTGCGGATGGCGAGCTGCAGGTGCCGCGGGATGATCCTGGTCTTCTTGTTGTCGCGCGCGGCGTTGCCGGCCAGCTCCAGGATCTCCGCCGTCAGGTACTCCAGCACCGCCGCCAGGTACACGGGCGCCCCGGCGCCCACCCGCTCCGCGTAGTTCCCTTTGCGCAGCAGCCGGTGCACGCGGCCCACCGGGAACTGCAGGCCCGCGCGGGAGGACCGGGACTTGGCCTTGGCCCGCACTTTGCCGCCCTGCTTTCCGCGACCAGACATGTCCGCCTCTCGCCTCACACTCCAGCGGGCGCAGGAGAGCCGCGGTCCCGTCGGGGTCTGGGCGCGCGCGACGCCGCACCCCGGAACTGCCTCCACCGGCACTTGGCGGCCGCGCGGCAGCGCCTTCCCATTGGCCGCCGCGACGCTCTCGGCTCCGGTTACCGGTGATAGGCAGGCCCCGCTCCCAATGAGCGCGCCGGCAGGGGGACCGCCTTCTCCAGTTCTCCCCAATCAAAAGAGCGAACCTCAGTTCTCATTTACATAGCCGTCCGTGGGAAGAGTCTGCCTTGGGGGCTCCTCTGAATGCATTGGGTCCCGAGATTTCAAAGTCCACGCTCCCACTCAGCAAAATGAAGTCTTAAGGTTTTGCCCTGGCCGGTGGATCAGTGGTTAGAGCATTCCTCCCTCTCTCTTTCTCCCCCCCCCCCCGTCCGCCATCCCCCCTCCCCCCCCCTTCCCGAATGGAAGGATCGCAGGTTCGATTCCCAGTCAAGGGCTTGTCTTGTGCTTGGGTTGCGGGTTTGCTCCCCATCCCCGGTGAGGATGAACAATTAAGGAAGATCCAGAAGAAGAGATACTCTATAAGTACAAAGAGCTCAAGAAGTAAATGTCCCTTGAGGTCGCGCACGGTGTGTCAGACGTCGCTGTGGCCCGTAAGCGGAGTTTCTCACATCATACAGCGTCCTAGCCAGGTAGAGCCCGCACTGGTGGACAACACTGGTCCTCAAGCGAAATCACAAACTCTCTACCGAATTCGGCCGGCCCAGTACTGGGTACGTTGCCTGTTCTTTAAACAAGCGCCTTGCTTCCTGCAAAACCCAAAGGCTCCAGCTGATCACCCAACTGGCTCGAAGAGAAGCTTCCTATGGAGTTGTCCATCTGAACGTGAACTAGATCAGATGACTCTGGGTCCTTGGAGCTTTGGAGTGAGGAAACCAATGGTAAAGTGCCTGGGGGTGGGGCGGGGAGGGAGGAGGGTGAGAAGAAGACAAAGGAAAAGAAAGGGGTGGGGCGGGGGTGTATGTGTGCTCCTGGGAGGGAGAGCGCCCGTAGCAATATTTTAAATAGCAAAAAATTAGGGAAAATCCATATTCATAAAATAAGAAACTGCTTAAATAAACAATAAAAATCTACAAGATTAAATACTACACTGGAGTGATTTAAATGAAATTAATAAAATTATTATCTACATAGGATAAGTGGAACAATAATTAGGATGAAATTACGTAGATCATTTTTATATTTGATTGTTTCTTAGTGATTCGTAGAAAATTTAAGGTAATCTGCACATGTTAGTCCTTTGCCAATTAGACATATTATAATGATCTCTTAGTTATATTTTCACTCTCTTTATATTATACTAAGGAATAGAACTTCTTAATTCTAATGCAGGAGGAAAAAATTAGCTTTCCCTTTGTAATTTTTACACTTTTGTGTTTGTTTAAAAAAATGAAGAACAGATGGCTTCAATCTTATACAAACTCTTCCAAAGAATAGAAGAAAAATAAAACACTACTCTGCAATTTATGTTAGAAATTAGTACAACCTTGACACCAAAACCTTTTCTCGTGTTATGAAGGTAAATTACAAACCAGTATCACTCAAAACATGGATGGAAAAGCCAAATGATCCCCAGTAGGGGGCGTGGAAGGCAGCTGATCAATGATTCTCATCATTGATGTTTCTAACTCTCCCTCTCCCTTCCTCTCTGAAATCAATTAAAAAATATATATGTATATATATATATATATGTATATATATATACATATATATATACATATATATTTTAAAAAAAGAGGAGCCAAGGATGAGCACAAGGTTTAATATATATATATAATCAGAGGGAAGGCAGGGGAGGGTGGGGGTAAGGGGGAGAGTTCAACCAAAGGACTTGTGTGCATGTATATAAGCATAACCAATGGACACAGACACCAGGGGGGTGAGGGCATGAGCTGGGGGGTGGGGGGCAATGGGGTGATAAGGACACATATGTAATACCTTAATAAATAAAGATATATATATATATCTTAAAAATGAAATTTAAAAAAAAAAAAGAGGAGCCAAGGATGAGCCCAAGGTTTAAATATATATATTTAATTGATTTCAGAGAGGGAGAGAGTGATAGAAGCATCAATGATGAGAGAGAATCATTGATCAGCTGCCTCCTGCACACCCCCTGCTAGGGATCGAGCCTGCAATCCGGGTATGTGCCCTTGACCAGAATCAAACCCAGGACCCTTCAGTCCACAGGCTGATGATGTATCCACTGAGCCTAACCAGCTAGGGCAATAAAAAAATATTTTTTAAAAAATAAGTAAAAAATAAAATCAGAAATATAAAATATATACTATTAGATAAAAATAGTAGATAAGAAAGGAGGAAAGATAAGAATATAAAAATTGTCTTAACTCCCCAGCTAAGCAAGCTCAGATGCACAATCTTTCTACTCCTATTTAAAACAATACAATAAAAGGGAGAAAAAGAAAAGTAATCAGTAAATGTTTTCATTTACAGAAAACTTTTTAAGCTATAAACTATTTTTTTTTTATTGCTTAAAGTATTACAAAGGGTATTACATATGTGTCCATTTTATCCCCCAGCCCTAGACAGTCCCCTAGCCTCCCCTATCCCCGAATGTCTTATGTCCACTGGTTATGCTTCTATGCATGCATACAAGTCTTTTAGTTGATCTCTTACCCCCCTACCTCCTGCCCCGCAACCCTCCCCGGCCTTCCTGCTGCAGTTTGACAATCTGTTTGAGGCAGCTCTGCCTCTGTATCTATTATTGTTCAAAAGTTTATAATGGTCTCTATTATCCATGAATGAGTGAGATCATGTGGTATTTTTCCTTCATTGACTGGCTTATTTCACTTAGCATAATGCTCTCCAGTTCCATCCATGACGTTGCAAATGGTAAGAGTTCCTTCCTTTTTAGAGCAGCATAGTATTCCATCATGTAGATGTACCACAGTTTTCTAATCCATTCATCTACTGATGGGCACTTAGGCTGTTTCCAGATCTTAGCTATGGTGAATTGTGCTGCTATGAACATAGGGGTGCATATATCCTTTCTGATTGGTGTTTCTGGTTTCTTGGGATATATTCCTAGAAGTGGGATCACAGGGTCAAATGGGAGTTCCATTTTCAGTTTTTTAAGGAAACTCCATACTGTCTTCCATAGTGGCTGCACCAGTCTGCATTCCCACCAGCAGTGCACAAGTGTTCCTTTTTCTCCACATCCTCTCCAGCACTTGTCGTTTGTTGATTTGTTGATGATAGCCAGTCTGACAGGTGTGAGATGGTACCTCATTGTTGTTTTGATTTGCATCTCTCGGATGATTAGTGACTTTGAGCATGTTTTCATATGTCTCTTGGCTTTCTGAATGTCCTCTTTTGAAAGGTGTCTATTTAGGTCCTTTGCCCATTTTTTGATTGGATTGTTTATCTTCCTTTTGTTAAGTTGTATGAGTTCCCTATAAATTTTGGAGATTAGGCCCTTATCGGATATGACATTGGCAAATATGTTTTCCCACACAGTGGGTTTTCTCGTTGTTTTGTTGATGGTTTCTTTTGCTGTGCAGAAGCTTTTTATTTTGATGTAGTCCCATTTGTTCATTTTCTCTTTAGTTTCAAGTGCCCTAGGAGCTGTATCAGTGAAGAAATTGCTTCGGCATATGTCTGAGATTTTGTTGCCTTTGGATTCTTCTAGAATTTTTATGGTTTCCTGTCGTACATTTAAGTCCTTTATCCATTTTGAGTTTATTTTTGTGTATGGTGTAAGTTGGTGGTCTAGTTTCATTTTCTTGCATATATCTGTCCAATTTTCCCAGCACCATTTATTGAAGAGACTATCTTGGCTCCATTGTATGTTCTTGCCTCCTTTGTCAAATATTAATTGAGCATATTGGTTCGGGCCAATTTCTGGGCTCTCTATTCTCTTCCATTGATCTATATGCCTATTCTTGTGCCAGTACCAGGCAGTTTTGAGAACAGTGGCTTTGTAATACATCTTGATATCTGGTATTGAGATCCCACCTACTTTGGTCTTTTTCAGGATTGCTGCAGCTATTCGGGGTCTTTTTTTATTCCAGATGAATTTTTGGAGAGTTCGTTCTAGATCTCTGAAGTATGCCGTTGGTATTTTAATGGGAAGTGCGTTGAATTTATAGATTGCTTTGGGTAGTATGGACATTTTAATGATGTTGATTCTACCAATCCATGAACACGGTATGTTCTTCCATCTGTTTATGTCTTCCTCTATATCTTTTTTCAACGTCCTGTAGTTTTCTGAGTAGAGGTCTTTTACCTCTTTAGTTAAGTTTATTCCTAGGTAGCTTAATTTTTTTGGTGCGATGGTAAACGGGATTGTTTTTATAATCTCTCTTTCTGAAAGTTCACTATTGGTGTATAGAAATGCCTCGGATTTCTTGGGGTTAATTTTGTATCCTGCTACATTGCCAAATTCATGTATTAAGTCCAGTAGCTTTTGGATGGAGTCTCTAGGGTTTTGTATGTATAATATCATGTCGTCTGCAAATAAGGACAGTTTTACTTCCTCTTTTCCAATTTGGATGCCTTTTATTTCTTCTTCTTGCCGAATTGCAATGGCTAACACTTCCAGTACTATGTTGAACAGGAGTGGTGAGAGGGGGCATCCCTGTCTTGTTCCTGTTCTTAGGGGAAATGGTGTTAGTTTTTGTCCATTGAGTATGATGTTGGCTGTGGGCCTGTCATATATGGCTTTTATTATGTTGAGGTATGATCCTTCTACTCCCACCTTGCTGAGATAAGCTATAAACTATTAGTGCATGCTAAAAGAGTTTAGCAAGGTTGCCAGGTACAAGGTCAATATAAAAAAGCTGTGGTACATTTATACAATGGAATACTATGCAGCTATAAAGAAGAAAGATCTCTTACCCTTTGAGACAGCATGGATGGAGTTGGAGATTATTTTGCTAAGCGAAATAAGCTAGTCAGAGAAAGACACGTATCACTCATATGTAGAATAGAATGAACAAAGTAAAGTGATGAACAAAATAGATCCAGAGACGTGGAAGCATGGGACAGACTGACAGATATCAGAGGGAAGGG